TTGAGAATTGGAGGTGTTGGTTGATTGAATTGTGAATACGTTCATTTGTTTTGAAAAAAAAAAAGGGAGCCAAATGGATTATACTCCTAGCGCTCGGTCCACTGATTTAGCGGATACGAGCCATGAGTACGGGAAACCGGTCTAGGAGACTCGAGCAGAAAACTCGATGGTTAAACCTAGATAAGATGTCCAAATGGTTTTCGCAAAAAAAAAAAGAGAAAAAAAAAATTTGGAATTGTGTTGGTTTTGGAGTAGTAAGGAGGAACCGGTTGGTATTTGACAACCGGAAGAGTTCATGACTATGGTTTGGTGATGGAATTGAGTTGAATGTGTTTTTATCTGAGCCACTTAACCTATATGTATCCTACCTGATCCAAAGAGCCTACATTACATCCCTAAAAGTCCTCTTGATTCATTGTTTCACGAACTTGATTGTTTTAGAGTAAAAGTTAGACAATAGGCAAACTTATGATTGATTTGATTGACGACCAACTTGAGCGTTCCTATCTTATATTTTCAAAAGAATCGAGTGAGGCATATGATATACTTCCGTTCTTGAGAGTCTTTGTCTTTTGGAATAACTGAGTTACTAGTTGAGGTATGCACTGGTGATCATTGGAATTCTTCTCGCTTGATTGATTGGTTTGAGATTAGTCTTGCTTGAACCGTTGTCCTTGCTCGTTTATTTGTTTTCTTTTGTTTTCTTTTCTTTTCTTTGTTCGTGACGAACAAAGGTCTTAGTGTGGGGGAGTTGTTTGTCCCGTTTTTGTTGCTATTTTCGTTGCTATTTTGTGTGTCGTTTCCCCTGTTTTAGGTCTTTTCCTAAGTATTTTTGGTCCATTTAGTCGTTTCTTGTGTTTTTATCTTTATTATGCCGTGTTTAGTATTTTCTTTGTTTTTTCCTCCTATTTTCTTGTTTTTCGTGTTTTTCCGGTTGTGGTGGTTTCAGGTTCAGATGATGATAGCGGTATTCAGGTCCGGCTCCTAGGAGTTATACATTGGTTTGAGTTTATAGCTCGGGCAGTACCCGAGAAATACGAGACGAGAGCTCATGAGTTCGAAACTTGGAGATTTTGGAAGCTGCCCAGGCCATAGCGGCGCTATGGCCATAGCGGCGCTATGGCCATAGCGGCGCTATGGCCATCTCTGAAAGCGGCGCTGCATGCATAGCGAGGGGCTGAGACTCGACTGTTTTCAACCATAGCGGCGCTATGGCATAGCGCCGCTATGACCAGACTGACTAGCGACAGTTTGTACCATAGCGAGGGGCTGCAGCTCGAATTTTCCATTCATAGCGGCGCTATCCCCATAGCGCCGCTAACCCCTATTTTTGTAACAGCCGCGGATTTCTTGGATTTTCGAATTGGGAAGTAAAAGATCGAACTTAGGGCAGTTTGGAGACATTCCCAGATCTGGTTTTTCATTATCTTTCACCCTAGAACATTACTTTTTATCTATCTTTCATCTTGGATTGGATTTTTGGAGGATTTAAACTCATTTTCTAGCTTTGGATTTGGTTTGCTCGTTGATTCATCGACTTTGGATTTGGTATTAATCGTAAGCTTTTCTTTTCATCTTATACATGAATGTGATGGCTTCTTTTATGGTGAATGCTTGTGTTGATGTTGTGATGAGTGGCTAATTCCGTAAGTTAGGGACATGGGACGATTGTTTCGGTTCGTTTTCAATTACGTGTTTGATAATTGTTCAATCCTTGCGAGTTGTGCATATTCTAGGGTTAGTTGATTGATCACCAATCTAACCTAATCAATTGACGTTTAGAACCGAAAGGGGAGGCGTCGGTCGATTTAGGCTCGTTTGGAATAGACTTGTTCGTTATTGTATTGTCTATGTGTTGTAGGGTTTGATGAGTTGCTCGTGTATGTCCACCTTCTTGTTACGAAGAGTTATTGAAGGTGAACCTCTATACGAATAGGTGATTCAATCCCCTTAACCGAGCAATTGATTGCCCGGTAATTGAGTCAAGAACCGAAAACGATTGTCCCCGACTCCCTAACTCCTTTATAACCAAGTTAATCGTTTGCTTTGAAATTCCGTGTCTCTTTGCTTTAATATTCGTAGTTGATAAATCAAATCTCCAACTTGAATTAGAGTGTTTAGGAAATTCTTTTCTCTTTACTTGTGATCGAATATCCGCACAAATAATCCGGCTAACCTTCCTTGTGACACGACCCGGTGTCGAATCTTTGGATTCTACTCCGGTTAAAAATATTTACAACATGTTGCAATTTTTATAATTTAAAAAAATAAAAAAATTTCTTTTACGTGTTGCATACCAACATTTTAGAAACTACATGGATATTCCTAAATTAATATTACATACCCAATATTTTAAGAACTAATTAAATGCTAATTTGATTTGCATACCCAAAATATTAAGTGCATTAACTAAAATACTTGATAAAATTAAAAATTCATTAATCAAGTTTGACTTTTCTAACTACTATATTTAGTAAATATGATCTCCTTTAATATAAGTATAGATATATATAGCACCCCACGGTTAATTAAAACTTGCACCTAATATATATTTAGCATATAGAATAATTAATATATAAAATGCAAAACGCATATAGTTACCAACTTACCATAGATTTGTAAAGGAGTTAAACTAGTACTGCACTGAATGTCCGTTTGTCATTTTCCTTAAAATATATTACCGTGGAATTTTTCGTTTGAATATCACTATTTTATTTATAGTGTTTAACTAACTGAGTTAACTCTAACTCACAAATGTCTCGATTCGTTTAATAACATATAAGTTCCCATAATATTTATGACAAATGAAAAATATGGCAGGAAAACATGAAAATGTGACTGCCAACACTACAAAAAAAATTCTTATATTCCAACGAAAATTTTTCGTTGGAATTCTTTATATTTTTTGTTGGAATAGCTATTCCAATGAATATTCCTACGTATAAAAATTCGTGAGAAAAACGGTCGTTGGAATAGCTAAAATCCAACAAAAATCCTATGGAAATAAATTCCTACAACTATTCCAACAGAAAAAATCCGTTGGAATTCCTCAACCATCCAATACTTATTTCAACATAAACTTAAGTTTGTTGGAATATCTATTGGAATTTCCAAAGCAAATTTTTGCCGTTCGAATTTTTCGTTGAAATTGAAGTGTTTTCTTGTAGTGTAATCATCTATTAATATATATTTGAAAAAAAAACGGCATGTCCTGATAAGTCTGATAGCAGTAATAATAATATTAAAAATATTGCGATATCAACCAATTATACGGTGCGAGTATTACCGACCAATTTAATTTTCAGAGGCTCCATAGAGAAGCGAATTTCGCTGCTGATCATATGACGAACTTGGCGGTCACCTATCCACCTAGCCTGCATCGAGTTTCGTCACCGTCTATAGGGTTAAGAGCATGGCTAGAGCATGATAACATTGGGGTGGCCCGACAAGTTCTAGTATCAGCATTCGGCCTCTTTTTTTTGTAATGAAAAAGAAAAAAAAAAAATCAGAGGCGAAATCCGAACGCCATTAATTTTGCGACTTGGCAAATGGCAAGAAGTATGTGTTGGCTTTTGCCAGCATAAATCATACGCACAACTCCTCATAGGATCGCCATGTGTCATGTGCTAATATAATATAATCAGTAGACTTAAATTCCTTTAATGACCCTGAAATGTATTCTGATTAATTACCAAAATTAATTTGTTATCACTTATCTATACTACTATCTACCAAGAGTGCTTGGATGAGATGGTCTCTTCCAGCTTAACCAGTGGTCTCATGTTCGAGTCCTGGGAATGCAGTAGTGTTAAAAACTCTTGAGGGAGAGCTTTGCCGCCCTTGTGGTCCTACCCGGCTCGATTCTGGATTAGTCGGTTCCCATTTTATCCGGAAACCGGAAAGTCCCTGTACAAAAAAAAAAATCTATACTACTATCTAAAGTAACTTTACGATATTGCAAAGAGGCAAGTACTTAAAAATACTCTGTTATAGGATAAAATTATATATAGTTTTAAAAGAATAAAAAAAAAAAAACTTCATCCAAAAATAATTTCATATCATTTAATCGGTTTTGCTATGAAGCCAACAATTAGCTCCATAGTAGAACCAACCTTCTATATACAACAAATAAATTAACATACTAATAAAATTAGATTAATGTTATTTAAATAATCATAGAATATAGTAGTTTTACTTGTTGTATATAAAAAGTTGACTCCACTATGGAGCCAACCGTTGGCTCTATATCAAAACCGGTCATTTAAAAACGAATTATATCTATATATGTGTGTGTGTGAGGTAAAACTCTTAAAAAACTACTTACACATGTCTTAACTTTTGTTTATTGTAAATACCATATATAAAAGTATGTATATTTGTTAGAAAAGTATGATTGTGCGATAATTAGAAAGTCTAACATAATATTATGTGAGCCCATAAATCACTAACATATTTTTTTTTGGTACAGGGACCTTCCGATTTCCAGATCCACATGGGAACCGACTAATCCGGAATCAAGCCGGGTAGGACCACAAGAGCGGCAAAACTCTCCCTCAAGAGTTTTAACACTGCTGCATTCCCAGGGCTCGAACACGAGACCACTGGTTAAGCTGGAAGAGACCCAAGTTATCTCATCCAATCAGTAACATATTTAAATTAAAAGTTGTGTCAAAAGCCAATTGATCAAAGTGGGGCTCCAACTATATACTCATGATTTTTCTTAATTAATTGCTTTTTACATGTGGTGAGAGAATCATAATTCATAGACCTTATTGCACATTTTATATATAAATGTCGTTAAGCTACATTGCAAGAAGTAGGGTTTCTTCCTATATATCATCACTTTCACGAGCTCAAACGAGTCATCGGACAATAGCCTCGAAGCTAGTTCAAACTAGTGGGAGGTTCGGTTGTCTGCAAAAATCCCCCCAAAATACACAAAAAAACAACAAAACATAAAACATTTGTTCCAAATTAAATTGAATTATTTGCGAGTCGATATGGCACGTGGCAAGATTCAGATGAGGAGAGTTGAAAATCCGGTGCACCGTCAGGTGACCTTCTGCAAGAGGCGCGCCGGCCTTCTCAAGAAGGCTAAGGAGCTTTCGGTTTTGTGTGATGCCGAGATCGGTCTTTTCATTTTCTCGGCACAAGGCAAGCTCTATGAACTTGCCACCAACGGGTACGTTAAATCTTTCTTACTCTACCGGTGTACCATTACTCAAATGTCATATCATTCATTAAACTACAAGAAAATAGAGTTCCAGAAAATAGAGTTCTAGTGAAGAATTTTTTTGTCACTATGTTGTCACTATATCTACTGTCACTATATCTACAACAATTGTAGATATAGTGACAACAATTGTAGATATACTGACAATAGATATAATGATCACAACAATTATAGATATAGTGACAAAAAAATTATTCACTTGAACTCTATTTTTTTGTAGTGTTAAGACATACATACTATTTTTCGATCTACAATTATTATTACTTGTTTTCTTATGCTTTTGTAATTAATTTTGTTTTTATCTTTTACTATTTATCGATTGAAGAACCATGCAAAGCTTGATCGAGAAGTACATGAAGTATAACCGGGAAATTCCGGCCGATCATGATCGGAGGGAGAAACAACTTGTAAATATGATGGTACGTGAATTTAACAGATACAATATATACTATTTATTTAATGTTGAGTGAAAAAAAACCTAAAAGAATAAATTGTTTACATATATATTCATCTTGTTTCATTGTAATTTGAAGTCAATTTCAGAGTAGATCTGAGATTTGTTTTGATGAGATTTGGATGTGGCCGCATTAGTTAGTTATCATCTGTTATATCATAAAATAAAGGGAAAATAATTGTGAGCAACCTGAACTATACATGATTTTGGGATTTGCAACCTAAAGTATTTATTTTGATAAAATGCAACTTGAACTACATACACAATCACTAATTGCACCCTCGACCACATCTTGACCATACACATGCCCTTTTTTGCTATTGATCGAACAATCAAAATGTGGTCGATGGTGCAAATAGTGATTGTGTATGTAGTTCAGGTTGCATTTTACCAAAAAAAATACTTTAGGTTGCAAATCTCAAAAATACCAAAATAAATGATTATGCTATTGCTAGGCAGAATCTGGTGCGACCTCTTTTTAATTTCATGTTATATTAATCTCAAGCATGCTTACTTAAGATATTATAACTGCAATAAAGCTGTCAGTATTATATCCTGCTTTTTAACGACAAAAGTCCATGGGGCGGCTATTCTTGCTTGTATGTCGAATATATATGATGTAAAATATATAAATAAATAGAACACCACAAAAAAAATAAAATAAAATAAAAATAGTAGTATACTTTGTTTGATATTAATTAGTATTAGTTATATTATTATTCGAATCGAGTTGCTCGCAAGCACAATTAACTCGACTCGTGAGAAGTGAAACACATCATGTATCGATGAGTCGATAGCATAATAATATGAGCTTGTTTATATAATGAGTTGACCTGAACGCATGCATTTACGAATAGATTGGTTATAATTTAGTAGATATGAGTCTAACTCGAACTCACATTTTTATTCGTTTATTAATACGCTTATAAGAATTATTCTGCTCGACTCGACTCGAATGAAAACCAATACTTCTTATCAACAAAAGAGTTCAAATCACCCGATAATCTATAATATCACTATATCACGTTATTGATCATATAATTATAGTTGTGGTTAGATTAAAATATTATTAATTATTTCAAAATTGTGACTACATATATATTTGCAACTTCTTGTTTTATTTTCCTCTATAATTTAGGACCCAAAGGATGAGATTAACATGCTCAAGAATGGAATTGAGATACTCCACAAAGGGTTGAGGTATATCTGATTCATATCCTAATTATGCCACTAATTTAAAATATTTAAAAAATAATTATCTACTGTATATATATATTGCATTTATGTGAAATTAAAAAGAAAATCTATTTAATTAGTTTATTTTATTTTGTTCTCTATTTTTTTGAAGGTTTATATCAGGAGGGGTAACTGGAAGTACAATGACTTTGGGAGAACTGAATATTCTTGAGAAACATCTTGAGAAATGGATTTATCATGTTCGTTCTGCAAAGGTATCTCAAATTAATTAGCTATTAATCCAAAAAAATGTAATTAAATTAACTTTACTGCTTAATATTATAATTATAAACCTAATAATATAATTTTGCAACTTAACCATCATATATATATACATACAGATGGACATTATGGCTCAAGAAATCCAATTGCTGAAGAATAAGGTTAGCTTACATATTTACATGCATGCAGTTGTATCATTTTTGTTATTTATTTAATTTTAGGAAATATTAATAGTTAAATGGATATAAGTATAGTAAAATTAGAGCCGCTAAACGAAACGAGTCGCTCATCTTGATAAATAGATTTTTTTTTTTTTTTCGTAATTTTTTGAACTTTTATCGTTTATCGGCTCGATAAAACCTCGAGCTCAGCTCGGATCGACTAGTTTACAGCTCTACATACAATATGATTTTTTATTTTTAAATTGGTCTGCAAGAAATGATAATTGATTTTCTATGACCTTTAGGATTTAAACATAACCCATAACTAATAGAGACAATAATGCTTAGATTCTAGTATTCTTTATTCACTAAATTACACATATATTTAAAAAAAATAAAAATCAACCCTAATATAATCATTAATTAATCAAATATTGACTTTCTGCACACATTCTATATATGTTGGACAGGAAGGAATACTTCAAGCAGCAAACAAACATCTCCAAGAGAAGGTATATATATATATATACATAGTGTTAATTCATATAAATTTTTATTTAATTTGCTGTTTAATTTAAAAACTAGTTAATAATTTAATTTACCTTATATTTTCATTTGAAAAATATTGCAGATTGATGAGCATTATGGGATGGTTGAACTGGGACCATTGCTGACTAACAACATTGAATATCCACTGACTACTAACATGCATCAGTTCCCACTAACTATACCAAATGAGATATATGAGTTTTAGCATATATATAAATGTATATATATATATATGCTCATGTCTTTCATTTTTATTTATGGAGTTATTATGTGTTTGTTGTAAGAAAAATAAAGAGGATTTCAGATGTGGTGCTTAATTGCACTTTAATTTGTGAACTTGCTAGTTATTAAGTGTGTGCCTTTATCTAAATATTGTTTTACTTTAATTTAAGTTGTGTCATATCATATGGTGTTATTTTTTCTTGTGCAAAATGCAATCTTTTGGCAAATTAATTATCATGAAAATTGTATACATAAGAAATTTGTACACTAGATAAATTAAAAAACAAATCCATTTCAACACAAGAATTCTCTTTTAAGTCCACAATGTTTTGATTGGCAAGAGTACAAATAGAAAAGTTAAATATAACTATATGAGTTGATTCTTAATATAATAAAGAGGTACTATTAATATAAACCAACTTTGAAATTATACTAAAATCACCACTAACTAAGTAAGTTACGAGTTCGAGCTTTTGATACTCAAGTTAATAAACGAGTTTGAACTCGAAATTATTTATTAAAAATAATAAGCTGAATTTTAATATTAACGAATCAAACTTAAAAAATCATGAATATTTTGTAAAAGCTTTTATTTTCGAGCCTAACAAATCTTCACAAACTTTTAACGAACTCGAGCTCGGTAGTTTAGTCTAATTCGAATTTTAACGAGTAGAATCAATTTAACACAAATAGCTCGTTTCGTTTAACAACTCTAGCTACTCAATTACATCACTAGTTCCCATTTCTCACAACATGTGAAAATCGGGTTAGGGTTTTCAGTTTTTGTAATTGGGGGAATTTGTGACTAACAACCCCTAATGTAATTTATCGGTCGTCTCTCTCTACCTTGCTCTCATCTGTCAGCCACAAACTGGTTTGCTAAAGTCCGACAGGGGTTTGAGTAAAGGGGTTTAAGCGTCGCCATGTCTTCAACTCTGGAAATTGAAGCTCGAGAGTAAGTTTTGCTTCCCTATCTGATCATGCTCTTGTTAAAGTTAATAACAAGGTACGGCTTGCATTATTTCATTCGTTATGGATTGAAATGCTCGTAAAGCTCAGAACTTTATGAGAGATTTGAGCTTCTAAAGAACAAGTTTCTGTAATCGGAGCTGGAAGTTATGTAAGATATTTTGAATTGGTTACAATTCTGCTCATTTAGTCTAACGATTGTAATGAGACGGGAAAATGGGGTAAATTTTATTCATGTTTAGTTAAGAGCTTGAAGGAATTGCATACTTCTCAAAAACAACTTTTTATCACCATTTTTGTTGATTTTCTTCTGTAGTTTAAGGATGTTTTCCGTCAGAAGGGTTACTTGGTTTACGAATTTATTTACTTGATTTTGCTTTATATCGTGGGCACCATGTTTGTTGGACTGAGGTTGTACTAGCTTACGTTGCAAATCATGTAAATGCTATCCTTTTAAATTTAGTGCACGTATTTCCTCTTGTTTTTTTGTTTTTGTTTTTTGTTTTTGTCTCGGTTTCAATCATATGTTCGCTTGCAGTGTGATCAAGATTGTACTTCAATTCTGCAAAGAGAACTCCCTGCATCAAACATTCCAAACACTTCAAAATGAGTGCCAGGTTTCTCTAAATACTGTGGACAGCCTTGAAACATTTGTTGCTGATATTAATAGTGGAAGGTGGGATGCAATTTTACCGCAACTTGCCCAGCTTAAGCTTCCTCGAAAGAAATTAGAAGACCTGTATGAGCAGGTAGGCTGAGACTTCTCTGTATTTGATTTTATTAATTTATTTAAGTTCTGCATGTTGTTGGAGATTGGAGTTCATCTTTGCCATTTTGTCTATGTGTAGATTGTTTTGGAAATGATTGAACTTCGGGAGATTGATACGGCACGTGCTATATTAAGACAAACCCAGGTGATGGGTGTCATGAAACAGGAGCAACCAGAGCGGTATTTACGACTTGAGCATCTACTAGTTCGGACTTACTTTGACCCCAATGAGGTGGGGTGTTCACTTCTTCACCCTTGAGGCTTTTTTGCAATCTGTTTCAAGCCAAGGAAATTCATCTGAGCTTATTTGATACTATGCTATTACAATTTAATTTGTATGTAGGGTACTGCAATTTTATGTAGTCAGTTACTTAGTCGTGCAGACCCGGTGGGGTGTTCACTTCTTCACCCTTGAGGCTTTTTTGCATCTGTTTCAAGCTAAGGAAATTCATCTGAGCTTATTTGATACTTTGCTATTACAATTTAATTTGTATGTAGGGTACTGCAATTTTATGTAGTCAGTTACTTAGTCGTGCAGACCCTGATATTAGTTCGCAGCTTTAGGTTTCATTTTGTAATCGTGTCTTAGTACGTTAGGTCCTCTATTGATCACTTGTTGATTAACTTTTTGATAATCTGACTGCTATGTTATATTGATTCCTTTGACATTACTGATGATTTTTGAATTATATACCTTTCTACTGTGATGGGTTGTGGAGTGATATTTTACGTCTTTTGTGCAGGTGTATCAAGACTCAACGAAGGAAAAAAGACGTGCTCAAATTGCACAAGGTTTTTCCTTAGTATATTTTATTTAATCATTGGCATGTTTTGACGAAACTTTACTTGAGGTTATGTCAAAAACACCCCAGTTGATGGAAAACAGTTACTTGATTTCAAGATGGGATGATTTTTTGTAAATGTTTACTCGCTCACTCCCCACCCCCAGCCCCTCCTCTTCCCCGGTATTTTATTTGTTTATATGCTCTCACATACAATCTTCAACTATACTTCAGCTGTTGCAGCAGAAGTTTCTGTGGTTCCACCTTCTCGATTAATGGCTTTGATTGGCCAAGCTCTGAAGTGGCAGCAGCATCAAGGTCCCGATATAAGAAGTTTTGAAGTTTCTGTATATATGTGGATATGTGTATAATGACCATATGTGTTTGATGACCTTATCTTTTTTTTTTTTTTTTTTTTTTTTTTTTTGGTGCCAGGTTTACTACCACCTGGAACGCAATTCGATTTGTTCAGAGGAACAGCAGCCATGAAACAAGACGTCGAAGATATGTACCCAACAGCTCTTGGGCACACTATAAAGGTAAGTCATGCATATAAGTTGCATCTGGATACTGGTTTTGAATTTTAATTGTATTTCACATATAGTGTTCTTATTTTACTTGTATCTCACGGACTTGGTATGCTCATTATGTGTTGATTTCCTGTTGCAACTTGCTTTACTATTTCCCATTTTTGTGTGATTAGTACTTTGGCCTCACCACTGAACTTTCTTTTTTCATGATATTCATTTTAAGGCTTTTTGTTTCTCATGCTATGCCTCTTTCTAATTGGAAACAAGATTTACTTATAAACAGTTGTGTTATTTATGATCTGTCATCCCTGTTACCACATATGCCATTATACCTTGACTGCAGTTGGTGATTCATTGCAGTTTGGGAAGAACAGTCATCCTGAATGTGCTCGTTTCTCTCCAGATGGGCAGTTCCTTGTTTCCTGTTCGGTCGATGGATTTGTTGAGGTAATTTATTGAACTTCCTATATGATACTGTTTGGTTTAAACTATTGGTTGATATTGTTGGTATGCTCTAGGTATGGGATCATATAAGTGGAAAGTTAAAGAAGGATCTGCAATACCAGGCTGATGTAAGTTGCTTACATCTTTTTTCATTCTTCTATTCCTAAAATTTCTGGTATTTTGTGTGTTCCATGCACTAAATAGTGAGGAGCTTGGCAGGAAACGTTTATGATGCATGACGAGGCTGTCCTCTGTGTCGATTTTAGTCGAGACTCTGAGATGCTTGCTTCTGGATCACAAGATGGGAAAATAAAGGTAAGGCTTGTTTTAACTCTAATGGTCTTTCAGATCTAAATTACCTGTTTATTACACATAGAGAAGGACAAAAGAACACAAAAAGAAGAAAAAGAAGAAGAAACTGAACTAGTTCAGTTCAGGAGAAACGAAAGTAAAAAGTGTTTGGTCTTCAAATGCTGATAGCTTGGAGCTGTCTACTTTGTTGATGGGCCTGAAATCTTATTTGTGGTTTTGACTCGCAATTTGATCTAATAAAATGTTTATTATTATGTTTTTATCTGATTATAGGTTTGGCGTATCAGAACAGGTCAGTGCCTGCGCCGTCTTGAACGTGCTCATTCTGAAGGTGTCACTAGTGTCAGCTTCTCTCGAGACGGTACCCAGTTACTAAGTACATCATTTGACAGCACTGCAAGGTTTGTGTCCGAATTTATAATTACGACAAAGTGCGGAAAATAAAAACCTCCTTGACTCACAAGTCTTTTTTTTTTTTTTTTTTTTTTCAAAATTTGGCAGAATTCATGGCTTGAAGTCAGGGAAGATGCTAAAGGAATTTCGTGGCCATACTTCTTATGTTAATGATGCCATCTTTACTGCTGATGGTACACGTGTCATAACTGCATCTAGTGATTGCACCGTGAAAGTAAGTGAGCTTTTGTTTGTTATCAATTGGAGACAAATTTTCGGCATCCACTGAACTTTCTAGTTGTTATATGTGTTGATAATGGGATTTCAGGTTTGGGATGTGAAAACTACCGAGTGTCTGCAGACGATTAAGCCTCCACCTCCTCTGAGGGTATTTTCTTATCTTTTCTGGCATCACTTATTTTTCCACTCAGTTTTATAATAGAGAAGTTTTCTAAACCATTTTTCCTTCTTCATTGTGATGTACAACCTTTTTAACTGATCTTTTTTGTTTTATCTGCTACAGGGAGGTGATGCTTCTGTTAATTCAGTTCATCTTTTTCCTAAAAATGCCGATCACATAGTTGTCTGCAACAAGACATCTTCAATATATATAATGACACTCCAAGGGCAGGTAATGAATATATCTTTCTTCGCTTCAAAAAAANNAAAAAAAAAAAAAAAAAAAAAAAAAAGCCCCGAAAGGAAGGAAATGCGGGGAAAACAGTAAAAGGGACAATAAATTGGAAGTTTACAGAGTAGCTTGTACTTTGATACCATATGTTGTTATTTATTTAGTTACTTATTTTGTGAAGGTTGTGAAAAGTTTCTCATCTGGTAAAAGAGAAGGTGGAGATTTTATGGCTGCTTGTGTATCGCCCAAAGGGGAATGGATCTATTGCGTTGGTGAGGACAGGTATTTTCTCAATTCATGCTTATAGTAGAACAATAATTTGATTAATTCACGTTAAAAATTATAACACACTTTTTGCATTTAGAAACAGTTCTCTTTCATCTCTTTAACAACAATAGCTTGATATAGCGCCTGTCTTGATGGTCGACTGGATATTAGCAAACACTTTTTCATTTCTTAGAAAACTACACTATTCATTCATCTAACTTTTCCCTCCTCAATGTCCTTGATACAAATTTGTAACCAAAATCAATCACTACTACGGTTTTCGATAAAATTTACTATTTATGTGCTTTTACATTTCTAACTACCAATAATTATTTTACTATTTTTCTTTCACATCACATTTATTTATTACCTTTTCATCCTTAATTTTTTTACGTTATAAATGTAAATAATGTTATTCTGGAGAATATTTATTCAGATGAAAGCATATCCAGTCACACCGTATAGACTTTTTCCTGAAATTTTTTTCTTTATTTTATCATGAAAATCTCTTGTGTGTGTGTGTGTAATTGACGGATAGCTTATGCGCCCGTTTATCACGTTGGGCATGATTATTCCTGCAATTGTTTATTGACCATTATATTTCAATCATATGCAGAAATTTATACTGCTTCAGTTATCAGTCTGGCAAGCTTGAACATCTAATGAAGGTAAGATAATTTCTTAAGCTTAATCCTCCTGCATTGTAATCTTCTTCTTCAGGGCTATAATCCCCCAGGTTTTCGCTAAATACTATTTACAAGATAACCATGCTACTTTTGAAATTTCGGGAAATGCCCCTATATTTTACAGAAATATCACCATCAATCCCTTATATTTAAGAGAAAGAACTCTTAACTCATGGTTCTTTACTTTTTTTTTCATTTCTTCTCATTTTGCAACTTCTAGAAACCTATGGGCTTCACTGTAATATCCATGTTGGATCATTGACTCTGATTTAATTATTTTTTATTATTTTTTGTTTTTAAGTTTGATTTTTTTTTTTTTTTTTTTTTTTTTTTTTTTTTTTTTTTTTTTTTTTTTTTTTTTTTTTTTAAATTCTTGTATTGGCAGGTACACGAGAAGGATGTGATTGGACTCGCTCACCATCCCCATATAAACCTCGTCGCCACTTATGGCGAAGACTGCACGATGAGATTATGGAAGCCTTAATAATAGTTCGCTAAATTTTGTCACTGAATAATTTTTTGTTTTTTGTTTTCTTACAATGAGCAGTAATCTCTTGTAGATCCAAAGTATATTGTAACCTTTTAAGCCAAAAAAGAAAGAAAAAGAAAAAAATTATTGCCAATTTTTGCTTACATTGGAGGGTTCGAAACATGTTACTTCATTTGCTCGATAGAATTCTTATTCGATCTGAGCCGTTAGATCACATGCGCACACATATACCATGCGAGTATTTGTCGAACCAATGGCTTAGACCGGCGAAGGGTAAAATTTACCTATTTGTTGGTGTTTTGGTAATCGTTGGATCTTTTATGACACTACAGAGTTAATGAAGGCAACTGTTCCAATGCCCATGCTTATATTGAATGTTATTGTAGATTTGATTTAAACAAAGTCAAACATTTTTCTCTTTTGAGCAGCCATTGGTTTTTTCTGGGGAAGACATATTTTCTCCATTTGTTGATAGTATAATTAAATGCTTATGGAAGTTGGAATGATGATGGGACTCAATTTGGCCGCCCACACCATCCAATCATCCTTTTTTTTTTTCCTTCTCTTTCTTGGAGATTCTATGGTCCCGTTACGATACCATTCCATCGAGTTTATAACCATTAGATCAACTATCCACTACGGTTACATGATGATTTAACAGTTATAGATTCCGACGGAATAGTTCCGTAACGGGACCGTAGCATTTCCCAAATTGATAAATTTGTGCTAATCTTTTCATTTTCCACCTTTCTTTCGTTTTATTTTTGCTCGTAAGTATAACATTGAATTTAAATTTTATTAAATTTTTTTTATGTCTGCTTTTCGTGTCGTGTTTTGTATCATACGTACTGTGTTTATCGTGTCATTTCCCTCAACAATTACGTTGTATTGTATTTGCTTTTCGTTTTGTGGCAACCATTGTCACACATAATTAGCAATATCAGTTTAAGGCTATGTTTGGTAAAACTAACTGATAAGCTAGCTTATAGCTTATATGTCATTTTTGAGCTTATAGCTTATAGCTTATGACTTATAGCTGAAAAGCTAGCTTATATGATAAAAGTGTTTGGTAAAATTAGCTGATAAGCTAGCTGGAATAAAAAATTCAACTAGCTTATTTGAAAAGCTACTTAAACAAGCTTATCAAATAAGCTCGTCCTACCAAACGGGGCTTATTTGTATCAAGAAGCTTATAAGCTAACCAAATAAGCTATAAGCTAGCTTATTTAGTTTACCAAACATAGCCTACGTGCATGAAATTCCATGGAAGTTGGGGGAATAATAGTCAAAATAGACAATTAAAGATTCCTATAACTTCTAACCTTGTTACAAAAGGTATGTGTAGGTTTTAGGAAACTGCAAAATGATGAAAATATTGATTACTAATAACAGCATCTCATGTATCATCTATGGCAAAGGAGCTCACTCTATAGTCTATAAACCACTAACTTGGAAAAATAAAATGTTCAATCATAGTTAGGAAAGACAATAACAAAGGCCATTGGCTCCAAAAATGTTAGAAGTCAAACTTGCTTATTCCTTAACAACACAAAATAAGAATTTAAGTGATGTGAAACATATATATATATATATATATATATATATATATATATATATATATTTAAAACATATACACATACTTTTGTATTTAATAAATGTCACTCTCTAAATAACAATATAAGCAAAAGTATGATTATTCATAGCATAAGTATGTATTTTTATTAAAAACAATTGACGAGTTATCCCATTTATCGGTTAAACTGTTTCGTACAAGAATTTGTGTTATCCAAGATTATTACATAGTCAAAAAAAGAAAGAAAAACTGAGTAGAGCAATTTTTTTTTTTTTTATTTTTTATAATTTTGTTGACCTTTGGTTTTGAATTTTTTTTTTAAATAAACAGAACAAGCACAGAAAATTATTGCATGTATTTACTTCAAGAATCACCATACAGATGAACATAATTACTCTATCCCCATTCCCCAACTACCCTTTTTCTCTGCCTATTAAAAACCTTCTGCCACCCTGCAAATCTTCACTTCACCATTTTCACACACATACACACACATACACACACAGCTTGAAGTGAGAAAAAAAAAAAAAAAAAAAATGTCCAATAACAACAAGCTGTTCTTGAACTTAAAATGTGTCTTTGTGGCTTTCTTGGTATTGAGTTTAAAAAATGCAGATTTAACAAGTTGCCAAGAAAATGATGATGATGATGATGATGATAATGGAGTTAGCAGCAGAAGGGCATTAGTCCCAGCCATGTTTGTATTTGGTGACTCTTTGATTGACAATGGGAACAACAACAATTTGCCCTCTTTAGCTAAAGCAAACTATTTCCCTTATGGCATTGATTTTAAAGGTGGCCCAACTGGGAGGTTCTCTAATGGCTACACTATGGTTGATACCATTGGTAAACACTCTCTTCTTGCAGATTTACAGTTAAAGTTTGTGCCTTTATTTTGTTTTCTTGTAGAAAAATAGAAATTCTATTTAAGGGACTTCAAGTTTGGAGTAGTTTCAAGAACTTTTTATACTTATTCTACAGCTGACTTGCTTGGGCTGCCATTAATTCCTGCATATTCTGAGGCCTCTGGTGATCAAATGAGATATGGAGTTAATTATGCTTCTGCAGCTGCCGGCATTCTTGACGATACTGGCAGAAATTTTGTGAGTGTTCATATATTGTTGTGTATAGTATAGAAATGTACATCTAATAGCTTTGAAATTTACTAAAAGTAACTCTTTTCTATTGGGGGTGTTGTGAATTTGTAGTATCTTAAAGGTGTTTTTGTAAGTTAGTTGAAAAATGACTGGTGGTCCAAGTGTATATTTTGTATGTGTTCCCCTGCATCATATTTGTGCTAAATTTAGTTTGCAATAAATATTCATATTAGTCCATTAATTCATCAGCACTTGTTTTCATGCAAGAGTTTTGATGATGGATGTTCAGGTTAGCCGAATCCCGTTTAATCAGCAGATCAAGAATTTCGAAAACACGCTCGACCAACTAACGAACAATCTCGGCGCTTTGGAACTTGCACAAGCCTTGTCCAAGTGCATTTTCTTTGTAGGGATGGGAAGCAACGACTATCTTAACAATTACTTGATGCCGAATTACAACACGAAAAATCAGTACAGCCCTCAGCAATATGCTGATCTTTTGACTAGACAGTACTCGCAACAGCTCACCGTAAGATACGACTAAAACTACAAAATGAACCCTTATAGTTTGGCATAATTGCTTTTTAAGTCCTACATTTTTGCTTTGTTTATGGCAGAGGTTATACAATCTTGGAGCTCGGAAGTTTGTTATAGCTGGCCTTGGCCTTATGGGCTGTATTCCTAGCATATTAGCTCAAAATAATAATGGAATTTGTTCGGAGCAAGTGAATCAGCTTGTTCTCCCGTTTAACACGAACACAAAGGCTATGATCAATAGCCTTAGTACTAGTCTCCCGGGCGCAAAATTTTCGTACATTGATATTCGTAACATGTTCCAAGATCTTCTTGCTAATGCGAGATCATACGGTACAAATTTCAAATTATGTCAAAATTTGGACATAATGTGATTTTTTTTTTCGTAATACTAATTTAAGTCAAAACTATTTGCAGGTTTTCATGTGGTAAATCGAGGTTGCTGTGGTATAGGGAGGAACAGAGGGCAAGTAACTTGCCTTCCTTTTCAAACTCCATGTGCCGATCGAAAAGGGTATATATTCTGGGACGCGTTTCACCCGACTGAGGCCGTTAACGTCTTGTTTGGCAAGAGAGCTTTTAATGGGAACAAGAATTTTGTTTATCCCATGAACATACAGCAACTTGCCAATCTTTGAACTTGTTGTCCAGACATTGCCTTGTTTGTTGTCTTTGTTTTGCTCTTCTTTTATGTGGAATGTGTGTTCTCTTCTGTAGGAATGAAAATTGATCAGACATGAGCTACTATAATTTTTATATATGTATTTTGATTTTGCTGTTTGAATTACATATTTGTTTAAAATAATAACTTAGACTATTATTATTTCAATTCTGTCCATATAAAAAATCTTACATAAATCCCTCAATTAATTCACAAAACACTCTCATCTCTCTTAAATTATTAAAAAATTTCAATTAGCATTTGGTAAATTACAAAATACATCACCCAATATATCTTATTTGGTATGTTATTCTAAATACAATGCCTAATATATATAATTCCAATTATAGTAAACTCAATTCCTATAACAAGATCATGATTAATTTTTTTAGTTAATTTGCAGGTCATGCACGAAATTATTATATTTAGTAATTTTGTTTCCATAGAAAAAATAACTTAAAATCAAATATTATTTTAGTTTTATATTATATTAATGTATTTTAAAAATTTACAAACTACATTAATATAAAAAAGACTACAAATTGAACATATAAAAAAGACATTAATATTACTAAATTACTCATAAAATTGAAACATAATAAAGAACTACTAGAAATAAAAATCCATCAATTGATTTTTACTTTTCATCTTGTATATTGTAATATTTAATTTTTATTGAATATTTTATTTATCCGATTTTATTACATATATAAATAATAACTTTGTAATTAATATTTTTACATAAATTCGTCAACTAAAATTTAAAATAATAGTGTGGTTTAATTTGTAAAGTTGTAAAATATATCGGTCGTATTGAAAAGTTATAAAAGTTGATGTAAAAGAGAATATTGCGAGAACATTCTTTTGAATTGAAAAGTTAAAAAAGTTGATGCAAAAGAGAATATTCTTTTGAGTTTGAGAATGTGTTTTCGGTTGGAGATAAATTACTCTTTGATATGAAAACTATTGCAAAATAAGTTTGAGGGTGGATTTTCGGTTGGAAATTGCCTTAATAATCATTTCTACAACAAATCAACAATATTAAACATTTAGAAAACACTTCTACTAATTGGTTAATATGATAGCCAAATATGTGAACAAAAATCTACACTTTTACTAATACAATTAAATCAGCATCTGCTAATAATTCACAGTAAACACAAATCCCATAACAAGATCATGATGATTTGAAAACCTCTATATAAAGGTTGTTCCTTGCTCAACAAAACCATAACTCACACCATCTCCTTCAACATAGATATATCTTCATTGAGCAAAACTAATCAAAGAAGATGAAGACCTCTGCAGTGATCTCTGTGCTTTGCCTAGCAACCCTCCTTTTTCTCAATCCCTCTCTTGGTAACTAATAAAATGAGCTCGAGAATTTTGAGCTCATGTTCTATTATATGTTTGAACATTGTTCGTGTTGGTTCCTTTATTTTTCGACCAAAACTTTGTGTTCGAGCACATTTGTATGTTCGAATAATTTAGTAAACAAAATTGATGAAAATTTGTTTAAATAACTCAAGATTTGTTTGTTCGAACTCGTCAGAGATATTAGAATATTTACTCCCACATCGTTTATATAAGAAAAATAAAGTCTAATTTATAAGTGTAGTTGGCTACTCCTCCTTCCACCAATTGGTTTTAAGATAGAATCTCACTTGAGTTTTATTTAGGTTTTTTTGTGTCTTGGTGCGCTTTATCTGCGTGAGACCGCACTCGTTTTTTCCCTCTTTTCTTACAAGATACGAAATAAAGAAAATTTAAAATTATGTTAAGCTAATGCTCGCGAACATGCCCGTGCTCGTTCGAACTTGGCTTGATTAGTAAAGGAACGAGGTCGGACGAGTTTTTGTTCGCGAAAGTCGAGTTCGTTACAAGCTTTGTTTCACATTCGATTTAAATTATTGGGAATCTATTAATGTAATTTGCAGGGAAAGCAGAAAAATATTGTGCGGCCCCTGATCTCCCTCAAGAAGGTGCGTGTGGAAAAGATGGGAAAAAAGATTGTACAGTTTTGGTGAAAGCAAGCTTTGAAGCGAGCCAAAAGCCAAAAAGGATTCGATGTGTGGATATTGGAAACAACGAAAGCAAATGCACAAGCTACATTTTTTTTTTTTTGGTACAAAGAGAGGAGGCTAACGCCTAAACCACTAGATAGTTATGTGTCGCGGGTACGCAATGCCCACGAGATCATGTTGTAGCCACGGGTTAACTTCTAGCGGTGGGTCGGATAATCGATGGCAGCCACTAGGGCCGCCATAGGCAAGAGACGCCAAACAATTAGCTGCAAAATTCGCTTCGCGATAACAATCAGCCGCAAAGAATGCACAAGCTACATTCTTTGTACTTAA